AGGGAAAGTCTGTGTGTGTGTGTGATAAGTGTTTTAGAAAGAGCAGAGACTAGACTGTAGGGGAAACGGGACCAGAGTGGAAGCTGTTGCAGGCAGGCGTCCCTTAAAGGTGAGAGCGGCTGGATTTGGGGTGAGAGCGAACAGATTCTAATGTCTGAGCCCCGAAGCCCTGAACTACCGCACCCCCCAGCCCTCTCTCTCCTGCAGAAGGAAACCACCAAAGGGCTTCAGATAAGGTGGACCGCACTCGGGCACTCGGGTGTCTGGGGACCGCTTACCTCCCTGAGTCTCCATGCACATCTGGAAAGCCAGGACGAACAATTCACCTTGGCCAAGGGTCTGCCTCACAAAAGGGCACAGGGAACATTGAACCAGTCAGCCCCGGGTCAGCCACTCTCGGCTCAGCCCGCTTGGGGGATACTCGGGACGTGTTTGTACCCCCTTCTCCCAGCACCTTCCCGGGGCTGCCACCCACCCCTGTGGGCTGGACTTGAGTCCTCTGACAGCGCTGTGACCAAAACACAACAGGGAAACGAGCCCCAAGATGCATCTCACAGCCTGAGGGATGCAGTCTGTGGATAAGCCATCGTTTTAGAATATCCTCACCCAGTTCCTCCTGAGAACTGGCCGTTGTAGTATCTAGAAAATGCACGATTCAAGTAATGACAGTTCAAAGACCAGCTCCCTTGTCCTGACACATGGCTTGGGGGCCAAGGTACACTTGGTGATCCTGAAAAGACAGGTTCCTTTCTCTCCTGGTCTCAGGACTCAGGCAAGGCCTCACGGGCCCCGAGGGTGAGTGGCCAGGCCAGGCCAGAGCCGGTGTCCCTCTCCTGGAGATCCTGGGCCTCTGGACTCCCTGTTCTTTGTCAAATGGTTCTCCCAACAGGGATGGGGCTTCTGCCTCCTCCCTGAAGGAGACAGGCTTCCGAGAAAGGAGAAAATCAATATAATTATGAAGGAACCAAGGAGAAGTAATCCTAAGAGACCCCTTAGCAGCTTTAGATATAATCGTATCTTGAGTTCCAGCGAGATCTAATGCAAGCAGTGGTGGCATCTTTGCTGGTGATGGAGTGGAAACGTCCTTCCTGCACTCAGAAAGCAAGGAGAAGGGGAACGCAGGGAGAGGTGAGCCTTCTGCCAGCGCCCAGCCAGGCGGCACTGTGGATTATTAGACAGCAGCTACGCGTGCTCGCCAGGACCCCACAGGGGCCCAGGAGAATGAGCCACTCCAAACAAGCTTGCTTCCCTTTTCAAAGGGGCCCCCAGCCGGGAAGGTGGCGAGGAAGGCCGCAGAGGCTGGTGCAGCTCTATGCTGGCCCTGGACCAAGCCCCTGCCAACATCTTGAGGCACGTGGAAAATCTGTGGGAAAGTGACTCACAGCTCATTGGAGATCTGGGCCTGCAGTCAGCCAGGAAGGGGGGCCCTGAGCTGAGCCGGGGGCTCCGAATGTGGCCACTTCAGCCCCAAACGCTGCTCTTGGAGAGCGGGTGGGCATGGGAAGGGCATGGGATGTTATTTGGGCCTGTGCAGCCTCCACGTCCCATTCTGGTATCAGCATCTTGGCCGTCTTGGGGAATCACTGCTGCCAGCTCCCCAGCAGAGCTGCTCTGCCCACCTCCACAGCTGAAGGATGAGTAAGAGGAGGCCTGACCCACCTGGGCCGTGATTGGTCCAGGAGTGAGCAGGCGACCCCAGCTCACCCAATGAGAAGCAGCCTTGGGACTCTGGCTCTTGGGACAGGGCTACGTCCTGCCCCCGTCCCCCCTTCCCAGGTCCCAGTGAGGACGCGCCGAGAGCCTGGCAGTCACTTCTGACACACTGAGGGGCCTGCCTGCGAGTGAAGCCAACACAAGGAAGCCGAGCTGGGAGGGGAAGCAACACAGAGTCCAACGGTATCATCTGAGCACCTGAATCAAATTTTGCCTGAGGTTAGTGTCACCTTGGGACCTTTCCCGTTCTTGAGACCACGGGATTCTCTTCTTTGCTTAAGCCAAGGTGACCTGGGCTGTTGTCACTTGCAACCAAGCCTCCTGCCTAAAGCAAAGAATAAATCCACAGTAGTGCGGACAAGCGCTTGGAAACCAGTGGCGGAATCAGCAGATGAGGGCCAGCGTGTGAGGCTAAAAACAGCCAGAGGCCCCAGATGTTGTCAGGGTAAGCAGGACCACACACCGGAGGCCAGGCCCCAGTCGCAGGCACCCCAGGACGCCAAGGAAACCCAGCCCTCTCACACCTATTTTCTCTTGGATTCTGAGGATGACCTGCAACAGGAGGAGTTGTCCCCATCTCAGAGGTCACAGGGGCCAAGGAACCACAGAGCCGGGGTCCACTCAGGCCTCTCCGGCTCCAGGTCCAGCCCCCGCCCATCGCCCTACTGGGTTCCTGCCTAGAACCCAAATCCGGGAGAATCTCAGAAGGGACTTCAGAGAGCTCCCCCTTCCCCCCCCCGCACCAGCAGCTGGTACTGAGATTCTTCCCCAGGGGCGGCCAGGTAAGCCAGGAGGACTGTCCAACTCCCTGGCGCTTGCTCCAGGCTCCCACCCTCGCCTGCAGGCGGGAAGGTTCCACCAGCGGGACAGGATGGGAGGCACAGAAACCTGACACCACAGGTCCAGGGCTCCGCCGCCCTCCCTCCCAGTCCCCCCACGCCCCCACCAGCCCAAGCTCCCAGCTGGAGGAGGGCCTCTGGAGCTGGGGCGCTGGGCCTGGCATGCTCTCCTGGGTCTACACAGCCTCCCACATCTTCCTCACTTCCACCCCGGACCCCCGAGTTCCCAAACCTGCGGCCCACACACCAGATGCATGTGTGTGCTTGGTCGGCTGCATGATTTTTAAAAACTGGAATTAACTGCAAACATGTAAAAAGTCAGCAGATTTCTCAGGAAAACCAGACTGCCAGCTAGCTACTCTTGGAAAATCAGATGATCTGGAAGCTCCCGGTGGCTGGGCAGAGGAGCTGCGGGTGCTCCCCTGTGGGCCCCAGGGCCCACGGGGCCACGTCACCTTTCTGGAAACTGCTGCTTCCGGTGGTCGATGCCTCGGGGTTGGCCCTCTGGGCTGTCTGCACCACCAAGCAGCTCCTTTCCTGACAAAGCCCCCAGATGGCTGCTGAAGCACGTGGCAA